CATTTCACTACTTTTAGCTAGCTAAGAACTTTGAGCCTTTAGCTAATATTTTGCTACTTTAACTTTTAGCTAGCATTTTGATACTTTAAGTTATCATTCCTTTTTTTAGTTTTTAAGCTATCATTTTGCTACTTTTAGGTAGCTATTTTGAGCATTGAGCTAGTGTTTTGGTACTTAAGCTTTTTGCTAGCATTTTGATACTTTAAACTAGCCTTAGGCAGTTCTCAAGCTTCTAGCTACCATTCTGCTACTTTTTGCTTTTACTGAGCCTTTTAGTTACTGAGCTAGCATTTTGCTACTTTTGGTTAGCTAAATACTTTGAGGCTTGAACTAGTGTTTTGGTAATTATGGTAAGCATTTAGCTAGCATTTTGATACTTGAAACTAGCCTTTGGCAGTATTTACCTTCGAGCTAGCATTTGCTACTTTAGCTAACTAAGTACTTTGAGCCTTTAGTTAATATTTTGCAACTTTAGCTTTTAGCTAGCGTTTTGATACTTTTAGTTATCATTCCTTTTTTTAGTTTTTAAGCTAGCTTTTTGCTATTTTTAGCTATCATTGAGCTATTTTAAGTCATTAGCTATCATTTTGCTACTTTTAGGTAGCTATTTTGAGCATTGAGCTAATTTTTTGGTACTTAAGCTTTTAGCTAGCCTTTTAATACTAACCTTTGGCACTGTTTACCTTCTAGCTGNCAATTTGCTACTTTTAATTTTTTGATAATTTTATTTTTGCTACTWCAAGCTAACATTTCACTACTTTAAGCTAGCTAAGTACTTTGAGCCTTTAGCTAATATTTTGCTACTTTAACTTTTAGCTAGCATTTTGCTATTTTTTAGCTATGATTCTGCTATTTTTAGTTTTTAGCTAACATTTTGCTGCTTTTAGCTCGAGCTTTCCTTTTTGTTGTCTAACAACTTAATTTTTAGTTTCCTCCGCAGATTTCAGCAGTCATTCAGCTCTGAGCTTTCTCTGCTTTCCCCCCAGAACATTGTATTTCTCCAGTTCACACTGGTTTTGGCCTCTCGTAGTTGCACTTCAACCTTCTTACCTGTCACCAGGGGGCTTTGTGCGGGGCTCTGCTCCATCAGCACCATGTGTTGGAGCAGCGGACTGTGTGCGCCTCCAGTTCCAGCACCGGCTTCTGCAAGGTAGGAGGTCAGATGGGCTCCGGAGAGGAAAGGTGGGCTGAGGGAGAGGGCTGGCTGCAGGCCTCCATCCTGCTGAGCTGAGGTGACCTGGAAACGAGGAGGAAGGGGGGCGAAGGCTGAGTTTTAGTAAAGCGCTACAGGCCGTCAGCTCCACGTAAACAAATTCATGGATTCGGCACGCCAGGCTACAAGCTGGCAGCAGTTTGCTCCTTACGCTGGAAGCAGCCGTGGCGGTTGCAGTGGCAGGCAGCCCTAAGGTGATATTGGGTAGAGACGGCGAAGTGTACAGAGACAGCTGGTTGTCAGCGCCGCTGCACAGCCTCTGGGCCAGAGATGCCTGGAAAACACATTTAAATGATTTATCTGTTTATGCATCTCGAAAAAAACACAAAATAAAGAAGTGGATGTCCACACGTGGCAGAAAGAGCTACATTTGCATCCTTCTGGTGCTAAAAGACTGTCACAGCCTCAAGCCTCCCCCACACTGTCTGAGTGCCCCTAATGGCAGCCGCAAATAGCATCTTCCCGGCTCCTCAGCCTGTCTCCTCATCTGTAGACCCATCACTTCAAAATGCATCACTAAGAACATTTGTGTAAGAAACAGTGCGCAGCGCTTAGGAGCCGCAAATCACCATGAATAGATCAGCACTTACAAACTGTACACACCTACCGACAGCCTGAGCAGCTAAGCTTCATACATTATATTGTTTATCAATTAAACGATCGTCGCACAGCAGCTGAAAGTAAGGCTTGTGTAACGTTGGTGTGTTACCTCCGTGTTGTTGGAGACCGACACAGTGATGCCGTTCTCGTTGGGGATGTTGTTGGAGCTGTTGTTCGGGGAGCTTGGGCCTGAGCCGGGGGCGCTGCTACATGCCGAGTCTGTCACATAAAAAAGAAACAAACCAACAAAAAAGAGGCGTCGAATCGACACACGGCGGCAACGCAACGGCAGAACTCTCGACTTTGCGCGACTCTCACCTGCCATGTCGAGCGAGCGTTTCTTGGCGGTGGTGATGGGGCTGTCTCGGCGTCGGAGCAGCGGGCTGCTCCTGCGCTCGCTTACTTTCTGCTTCAGCCGAGAGCGAAGCTTCAAGTTGGGCTCCGAGGCTGGAAAGAAGAACAGGAAGAGACATGAATGTTTTAGACATTTAAACCATAAACATCATGTTGAAATGAGGATTAAAGTCAAATTTGGTCAAAATGACCTAATTACATTTTCAAATTTCTGGCTTTAAAAGCTACATTTTGATACCTGGATCATTCAGATATCTTAATTAAATCCATATATATGACTTAATTCGTCTTGTTGGTTATGATAATACATTAATATTTGATCTGAATCCTAATTTTATGTAAATTTATTGAGTGATTTTTGATGTCAATATAAAGAGGAAACAGCAAATAGTATTTGTATATAAAGATTTCCCAGTTGGAAAGAAACAAAAAAATTCAGTTTTTTTTGTTTCTACTGCTCAAAAAAATGCATCAAAAATAATTTTAGGATTATATTTTAGACAGTTCTTTCAAATGATACATCGATAAGGCATTAGTTCATTATATTTTGACAAAATGCAATTTTTTCATACTTTTAAATCAAAGCCCTACATCTGCCGATTTCTCCACATCCCACTTCTGGACTTAATCCCCGTTTATGCAGGTGGGTCACATCTTATTTTGGAAACAAGGGTCAAACCTAGAAAATAATCCTGTACACAAAGTCAAGTTCAGAGTATAATCTGAGAATGACTCTCAGCTACTACTGCACCACATTTTAGCTTATTATCTGTACAACTGCCTGAGTTTTAGCTAATAATGTGTTTTCTATGGTGAGTGTTAGCRGTGACCATCTTGAATTGACGACTTCAAAAACTAACCAGTGGTAGATCTACATCCAGTGATTACTTAGAATAGAAAAAAAAGCTTATATTGGCAGAAAAACAGTGAACAAATAAATTGCAATTTGTTGCTAAAAGCACCTGAAATTAGCAGAGAATAGTTAAAAGTAGCTGAAATAACTGAAATTACCAGAAGATGGAGAAAGAACAYGTTTGCTGAAGTAAGCAGTAAGAAGCTGACATCATTACAAAAAGGTGWATTTAAATGAAAACCATGAAATGAACTGAAAATAGCTACAAAGTAGCTGAACAGGCAGAAAACAGCTGACATGAGCAAAAATCAGCTAAAAGAAGCATAAAAAGCTAAAATTAGCAGAAAGAAACTGAAAAAAGTAAAACTAGAACAAAAGGTAAAAAGTAAAGATTTATTTTTAGGCTGTTGAAGATAACTACAATTTCAACAAAAAAAAAAAAAAGCCCAGAAAAAGCTAAATAGCTGAAAAATTATAAGTGGCTAAAATATCAAAACTCATTGCGCCCATTGCAGAAATGAGCTCAAGTTTTTTTGATATGTTATTGTTGAAATAGCACAAAAACTGTGGAGTGAGTTAGATGCCGAATAAAATCCATAAGGAAAAATAAGCTCACTCATTAGTGTGAATGCTCAGCAGCATTTACAAAACGAGCTTAATGTCAGCCATGCGTTTAAATTGTAATATTTTAAAGCTTTCGAGATTAAAAATAAATTCAAAAAACTTAATAATAACAAAAAGAAAAAAAATTTGTATAGGTCCTCTGGACGGGTTCTTCTCTAATGAAACATTTCGTCTCTTCTCCAAGAGACTTCTTCAGTCTGAGAGTTTCAGGTAAAATTCAGGCTTTTAAGTCCTGCCTCCAGGTGACTGATACTCACATCACATGGCTATCGTTGACACCTAATTAACACCTATTGTTAACAGGGGGTGGAGTGATACTGGCAATAGC